ATACACACGTGTACTAAAATACTGTAATATTCTGAATATATTATTACATGTATTTTCAAAGTGTGTTTTCATGCGAATGAGAATGATAGATTATGCTGTATTTCATCATTTTTCATTTGAAATGCGATGTGGCGCACGCCGGCATAGGTTAGAGTGGTTGCAAAATATCGGCTAGTGGTGCGGTGACTTTCCTGTCTCACCGACCGTAGATTGGTTGACCGATATCCTGTTAGTATTTAGAGATCAGTGAGCGGCATGCGTGTGTACAACGACCACTGTTACTTGTTATGTTAAAATAGAATCATTGAATCTGAGATCATAAATGATAGCCAAAGTGCGTGAACACTGTGCCTACTAAAACCAGCCCAACATGGACTGCCTAATTATTTGGCGGTGTCGGAGGCGGTGGCAGTTGCAGCAGCAGCAGTAATAACAGGTGAAGGGTGCTTTAGTAAATCGGGCTTACCTCGAGCACCAGCCATAAATCAACGCGCTAAAGAACGATGAAGTCTTCTGTCCACACGGATGCTGAAAACAACACGAACATGTTGCATAATCCCACAGGGACAATATATAATCTAGTACAAGACGGCTCCGTAGTTGATGGATATATAGATAGAATAAGAAATATAAGTATCACAGCACTGCAACAATATATACATGCACACAACTATATATATATATATATATCGCTGGCTGCTTCTACCTGTCTATCTCTGACATCACCGCGTAGCTGCTATGTGCCTACTTGCGACTCCAACTCTGTCATCACTATACGTAATATCACGAACACATGTAAGTACCTATATATTTTTTCATTTGTATTGTACACGCGAATTGCATAGATATGCTCTTGGTAGCAGTCTATGTGGCTACTTGTGGCCACTAGTGGCTCACTTGCCTTTTAGTTTTGCAAGCTTTCGAAAACATCCGACCTTTCGCCAAGCTTCCCAACAACAGAATCAATTATACCAATTACCCAATTTATTTAGCTAATTTTATATTATTATTAGTCTATATATATATATATACACGTATATATACATGATATCAGAAGTGAATAATAATAGATTTATATAAATATATAATAATATAATAGAATAATAATAATAGCTATTATTATTCACTCCTGATGATATCTGTACGGAAATAGATACGCACCTCCCCCTGCCCAATCTCCTCCATGGTGGCTTTGGCTGGATCGTAGGTGAAGCAGAGCAAGAACTGTAGCAACACTAGCAGGACGTAGATGCAGTAGAAAGAGAAGCGAACCTTGTCATCCACGCCATTCTGACGACAGCAAGACAGCACCATAACCATCATCATCGTCATTATTATCGTCATCGACATCGTCATCGTCTTCATCAATATCATCATTATCATCGTCGTCATCATATCATCATCATCGTTGTCGTCATCATCATCATCTTCGTCGTCTTCGTTGTCGTACACAGTGTGTGATAGAGGGTGATTGTGAGAGAGAGAGAGAAAAGGGAGAGGGGGACCAAAAGAGAGCGAGAGAGCGCGAGAGCGAGAGAGAATAGGAAAGAAAGCGTGACAGAGTGAGAGAGAATAGGAAAGCAAAAGTGACAGAGTGAGAGAGAAAGAAATACAGTGTACGAGAAGACAGGAGAGCGCGAGCGCGCGCGAAACATAGGAAATGAGAAATGGATCTATATATCAATCGATCAGCTGGTATCGATCAGCTATCGTGCTATCGTCATCACTCACGTTACGAACGGCGATCCGGATGTCCGTCTGTAGCACTAAGACTGCTTGTACAAACAGGAGGAGGAAGAAGAGGCAGGGAAGCCCTGAAGCTCTCTCTCCACTTCGTCTGTCTATTTGCGCGTTCAGCATCACCAACAGCTGCGAGAAAGGGAAACGCAGCGTGGTCACGTTGTTACCATATCGTTGTTAATTAATGGTAATTGGTATTCACTGCTTAGGATTTATCTATCTGTCTGAACTGGATAACCGCTCTACTTCCATGGCTATTGTTGCTAGGTCGGTCAAGCTGAGTTATATGAGTTATTAGGTATTATATAAGTTATTTATGCGCGCATGCTGATTTAATTGTGACACTCTGTTACTAAGCGGCGTTTTTCGAATGTTATTATCGCACGAACTATTGGCTAGATCTATCTGTCGGAAACGCGCGGTGGATTAGTCGGTTAATAGTAAAATAAACAGTGATAGTGATTGTTAATTAAACAGTTATAGTAATGGTTAATTAAGCAGTTATATCAATGGTTAATTAAACAGTTATAGTAATTGTTAATTAAACAGTTATAGTGATTGTTAATTAAACAGTTATAGCAATGGTTAATTAAACAGTTATAGTAATTGTTAATTAAACAGTTGTAGTGATTGTTAATTAAACAGTTATAGCAATGATTAATTAAACAGTTATATCAATGGTTAATTAAACAGTTATAGTAATTGTTAATTAAACAGTTATAGTGATTGTTAATTAAACAGTTATAGCAATGGTTAATTAAACAGTTATATCAATGGTTAATTAAACAGTTATAGTAATTGTTAATTAAACAGTTAAAGGACAATTGAAGTCAAATTTTATAACTTCTGTAACGTTTTTATACATATAAATACATTCAATAACATATTCCATTTCAAATCCGGCGCCCGCAGTTCAGATCCGCAGTAAGAAACACATGAATATTAGTCTAGGTCATGTGACGTCACAGCCCCTTGTTGTAACACGCCATTATGTAAACATAGTGCGTGTGGTGGATAAGATGGAGACAGAAAGCGATAATTTCAATTATTATAGTGATTACTCAGATGATGATGATATTTATAGTGATTTACCAGTTAGATATAGGTTTGAGCCTGAATATACACAAGAAGAAATTGAGGAGAATCGTCTGAAAAAGCTACGCGAAGAGTCGGCACAAACTTCTCAACAATCAGAACAGTCACAACATGGCGGAATGGAAGCTTCGGTACCAGATAGGACTGTACACAAATACTGGTGTTCTTGTAGTGTTTGTGAATTAATGAGTACGGCACCTGAATGTATATGCTGCCATGAGAATGAGAAGATCAGGGTTATTGTAGACCAGTTCGACGCTAGACCAGGTGAGGCATGCGAGTACACTGATCACCGGGCTTATCATGCTCGGTCAGAATCACATATGTATCTGTACATGTACAAACATCTCTACGCAAGTCATGTACATATACCGTGAATGCATTATCCACACAGGTAATATGTATGTACATTTACAGACTACATGTTTGTTGTATGCTGTAACAATACTTTCACCTAGCATAACATATACTAGCGCGTTAGCACTGTTACGCTATATAATGGCGTGTTTCAACGGGGGGCTGTGACGTCACATGAACTAGATAAATATTCATGTGTTTCTTACAAATTGGGCGCCGGATTTGAAATGGAATACGTTATTGAATGTATTTCTATGTATAAAAACGTTACAGAAGTTATAAAATTTGACTTTACTTGTCCTTTAAAGTAATCGCCTGCGGCATGGGAATTACTGTCACACAGCGTTCTTGTTATTTATGACGTTCGAACGACATAATGCCCAAAAAAAATTATAGTCTACGGAATGTGAATTTATTCTTCAAATTTGGTATTAATTAATGTACGTAAAATGGCCGTGCGAACAACAGCACACCTTTTGTGCTTCTACTGCCACCTAGCGTGCGTTATTGGCGCTCATCGCGCCCTCCAGCGTGCAAAATCGGAGTAGTTCACTCACCATGGTGGCAGCTATAATGACTGGTGTCACGAAGTAGATATTTGGAAGGTTGACGTCGTCGTGTTTCCATACATACAGGCTGTAGAAAAAGTCTACGAAAGCAAGTACAAATAGCAGCAAGGCCAACACCTGAAATGGAATGTACACACGGTGTAATAGATTACATATGGCAATTATTAAATAATACCTATTATAATAATATCAGGAGTGTATAATATGGAGTGTATAAGTAGTAGATTTAATATATTATATTATAATGAGATAAGTAGTGATACGTAGTGAGATAAGTAGTGTGATAAGTCGAAGATATATAGTGTATAAGATCTCTATATTATTTATAATATCTGATAATATAATAGTATAATATACACACGCATGCATATATTACATAATTTTAAAGATAATGGGGGTCTGAAAGCGGCAGTAGGGGTGGGGGGGGGAGAAACAGAGAATAGGAACTAATATGATCACTATATGAATTTATACATGTTCTGTCCGATAGCTCTGAGGTAATTTAAGGTTTAACAGCTCTGAAGAATACTGCTGCGCTTGCAATCATTTTTTTTAACGCATACTACATTTCCTCCCAAATCTTCTGTAATATGTGTATTTTCTACTTCGTCATAGAAAGGTATATTTGCGGCGGAATCTCTCTCTCTCTCTCTCTCTCTACTCTCTCTCGCTTCATCTCTTCTTCTCTCTCTCTCTTCTCTCTCTCTACATCTCTCTCTCTCCTCTCTCTCTCTCATCGTATTTCTCTCTTCTCTACTCGTCTTTCTGACTCTCATCTCTCTTCGCTCTCATCTCTTCTCTCTCTGCTCTTCTCCTCGCATCTCATGCTCTCTCTCTCGTCTCTCTCTCTCTCTCTCCTGTCTCTCATCGCTTCCTGATCATGCTAGTTCAGATCTTCCTCTCTACTCCTCTCTGCTCTCTCTGCGTAATCGTCTGCTTCTCTCGTGCTCTCTCTCTTTCTCTCTCTCTCTCTCTCTCTCTCTCTCTCTCTCTCTCTCTCTTCTCTCTCTATATAAGCCTAAGTTACCTATACATGAATGCTCGATATATATCATATATATATATATATATCAGCTCATCATCAGTTCATCTATCATGGGTATGTATATGTATGTATATATAATAGCCTATATCTAAATTCATCGCCATCGTTGTCGCTGCTATCGTTTTTGTTGCCGTGATTGTCATCGACGTTGGTTATACGTTTTGAGAAGATCTATATTATGAGAAATATTCATCTGTATGATTGTTTTGTTAGACAAGATTGAAGATGCATATCTTCTCCAATATCATGACAGCATTCCTTACTTAGAGCCGGAGCGATGTTGACCAGCTTGGTGTTTGCATAAGTTTGTGACATGTGGACAGCCGAAATAATATTTACACTAAGATATGACTTAATTCAGGTTACATGCCTGCAAACGAACACGTTAGGTGAACGTAGAACTCATACAGCTATCCGTATACCTGCATATTATCGACAAACGGGATAACCTATATAACGCGTGAAATACACGCGCGGCATAGCCAGTGCGCGGGTTGAACGTTTACGGTAATACTAGTGTTGCGCGACTGTCGTGCGAGCGTGTGTTTGCGGATTGTGATAATTTGGTTAATAGTCAATCGCTCCATCGAGGTGCGCGGCGTGCGTGTTGCTGATGTGCATGTATACTTAAGACCGTAGACGTGCGTCGGGTCGTCTGCAGGTGTACGTGGGCTTGCTGGGTTGTGGATTGTATTACATTAATCAGGTTGTGGCTGTGTGGCCTAGTGCGTTGCGGGGTGTTGGTGCGCCGGGGTGCGGTTGGCGTTGCATGCGGTGACGTTCGCGGGTAGCGTGGGGATTGTTGTCTTCTTCTATCTAATATTATTGTGGGTTAATGTGGCCTCGTGTGAGAGTGTGCTGTGCGGCTGCGTCAAGTAGGCTTCTTTACTCGCTAGCTGCAGGGTCGTGTGCGTATGCCGGCCGGTGTGGACTCGCGTGTGCGTGGGTTGCGTTTTGCGCGGGTGTGGTGTGCAGTGGGTGTTGTGGGTAATGTCGGCTGTTGTAGGGTGCGTTGCGGGTTGGCCGTGCGCGGGTGTGCGTGGTGCCATGGCGTGAGTGCGCGAGGGTACTGGGTGTGTGGGTATTGTGCTGGGTGGGTGCGTATTGCGGGAGTGTGGAGTTGCGCCGCTGTCTGATGCGTTGCGTGTGGATGTGCCGGATGCGTGCTGCTGGTAGATGCTGCCGTGAGTGTTCGTGTACGTGAGCGTGTGTTGCTGGTATTGATGCGTGGGTGCCGTGGTGGGTCTGTGGTGTAGATGGTTATGTGGCTGTCGTGCGTGCGTGCGTGTTGTGTGCCGCTTCCGTGCGTGGGGCGCTGTGCGAGTTTGCGGGGATAGACTGAGTTCCTCGGTGCTTGAGGTACGTGAGTGCATGGGTGCGTTGCGGGCGTGGATGCGTGGGTACGTGGGTGCGTGGGTATGTGGCTGTGTGGGTGCGTTGCGGGTGTGGGTGCGCGGGTGCGTTGCGGGTGTTGGTGCGTTGCGGGCGTGGATGCGTGGGTGCGTGGGTGCGTTGCGGGTGTTGGTGCGTTGCGGGCGTGGATGCGTGGGTGCGCGGGTGCGTTGCGGGTGTCGTATGTAATACACTACGTCTCGCCGCGGCTATTCCGCATAGTCGCGATTACCTCTATGGTCTACTGTAACATAATAATGCACCGTGGTACATATAACCAAGAGGTAATAATACCTCTATTATTACCTATACTATTATTACCTATATTATTACCTATACTATTATTACCTATATTATTACCTATACTAGTATTACCTATATTATTACCTATACTATTATTAGCTATATTATTATTATTATACTAATAGCTTTATTATTAGCTGCTATTATGTATTAGTAGCTCTATTAGCAACTATATCATTATTAGCTATTAGCTTTATTATTAGCTGTTATTATGTATGATTAGCTCTTGTATTGATATAAGGTGCGCTACCGTTCGTGAGATGCTGAACCAGCTGTGGTAGAGAGGAGGAGTCCTCGACCAGAGCGATGACGCATAGTGAAGAGGGAAGAATAACCAGTAGAAGCCACAGGCAACCCACAGCATGCAGCTCCATTCGAAGCACGGTGTCAGGTCAGGTGATGTGGTGTTCCACGACACCTGAGTATCCTGCGAAGCGAGATGAAGTTTTGCGTTGATTTGCTGATTAGTTAAATGTCTGTCGAGATATTGGAGCTAAGCAAATATAATTTTACTTCTAGTTTTGCAAAAAAACGGTCTGTATGTGATTGATCGAATATTGCGCAAGGTTTATTGCTAGACGAGTTTACGGCTGCGCTGTTTTGGTCTTCGCTCTCTCTCACTTTCAGTATCGCTACTTTTTTCGCACTCTCCTAATCTATTTTCATTTCCCTTCCCCTTCTTCATCTCCCTTTCTCCTTTCTCCCTCCCCCTATCTCATTTCTCCTTCTCCCTCTCTCCTTTCTCCCTCTCCCTCTCCCCTTTCTTTCTCTCCCTCTCTACCTTCTTTATCTCCGTCTCTCTTCTTCTTCCCCCCTCTCCTTATCTCCCCAGAGATACACACAATTTAATGAGTTATCGTTTTTGAATACATATACAAAAATGCCAATTAATGTGACGATGCATATATCGATACGATAATTGATAAGAATATTATACGATGTACGAATATGCGATACGAATATATCGATATAACAACAGCATATAGCAACAGTACATTGCACAACTGCGGAATAGAAGAATCGGGCATAGTAGACGTAACGGCAAATTATGTGTGCGTTATTTACAACGGGAAATGATTTCCAAAAAACTGGAATACACTAAAGGCATCTATACATGTACATGTGAGCATGAAAATTAATGCACCTCGGCGATAGGGAGTGGGAGAGAGAGGTAGCCATGCGAGCAGCGTTGCAAAGCAAGAGCGACTGGGGAGGGCAAGATAAAAGAAGAGAAAAATAGCGAACGAGAGAGAGAGAGAGAGAGGGGTGAGTGAAGGAGAGCCAGAGAGATGGGGGCGGCAACAAGGTCGAGTATAGGATATCGAAATAAAGGGAGAGTGTGTGTGTGAGAATGAAAGAAAACAAAAGAGAACGAGATAGATAAAAAGCGATAGCGAGAGATGGGAGCGAGCATCATAGAGAACAAAAAAGAAACGATAGATAGAGAGAGATCGGAGAGAGAGAAAGACAGATTGATAGACGGACAGACAGATAGACAGACGGACGGATGGGCGGCCGGACGGACCACAGGCACTTGAAGCGTTTCAATAAAATATAATGCTAACTAAATACGAAATCTATTTACTACCAAATTCTTAATGTTTCTATACTCTCTTTCATCTATTATTGCCGACAGTTTCCTGTAAATTCCGTCCAAATCCTACGTCCAACCATACGCTGCCGGCACCATTGCTTTCGCGGCGCGACTGTTATATATATATATAAATGTATATTCATATGTAATATATATATGTAATTCATAATGTATGTTTCATTAATATGTATACTACTCTTGCACACTAATATATATGGTGTATATATATTAGTGTAAAGAAAGCGTGCAACAGTCGCGCCGCGAAAGCAATGGTGCCGGCAGCGTATGGTTGGACGTAGGATTTGGACGGAATTTACAGGAAACTGTCGGCAATAATAGGTGAAAGAGAGTATAGAAACATTAAGACTTTGGTAGTAAATAGATTTCGTATTTAGTTAGCATTATATTTTATTGAAACGCTTCAAGTGCCTGTGGGACGGACGTATGTAGACAAACAGAGACAGACAGACAGACACTCACCCAGAAGGCACTCCCGCAGTAGTCTGTTAGTGCGTTCTCAACAGCGGATGCCATCTCTCCTGGTTATCTGCCTATTTGCCTGCCAGCCTCTGCGTCTGTCTCACTTCCTCTACCAAATCACTGCCGTGGCAGCTCCACACAAACGCAACTGTCTGCAACGTACCGGCCTATGCACGTTTAAAGTATAGTTCACCTATAATGACGTACGCACTACGTGCTCCTGTACGTACACCGGCGTGTCGTGTGCGTGCGTGTGTGAGCGCGTGCGGGCCGTGTGCACGTCTGCTGGTATGTAAGGCTTGTGCTGGATATTCGTATCTCTATATCGGTGGATACGCAGTCCACTCAGTGACCGGACTGACTTACATTAAACTGTGATTGGTGTGGATTGTTAGGAACACAAGTACCGAGAGCGATAAGAAAGGTACATATGTGAATAGGGAATTACGATTGAGATAGGGTAATAAAACGATATATTTATGCACGTGAACTAAGTGTAGACTCATACTGCTAAGTCGTAACCTCATGATGAACCTAGCTAGTGCGTTTAATATTGTAATAGTGTGACAGTGTAATAGTGTAGTAGTGTAATAGTGTAATAGTGCGCCTAACGTGTAATAGTAGGCCTACTCGCAATGTTTACAGAACTAATAGAAACACTCGTGTCAGAGCCGTGGAATAATGTGTACAAACTCCAATCATATAATAGAAGACGATGCGAAACTCTTACGAGATTTCGCGTTAAGGGAGCTTTTTTCACTTTCTTAGCGTATTACTGTATTACTATATATACAGCTGTATTTTGTATATTGTATACTGTATGTGTATGTATACTATCTGGTAAGCGATGAAAAACAAACAGAACACAGATAATCCACATTTGGGAAAAGTGCATTTTATTCAATTTCTAGTGAAATAAAACTTCATGCTACATCTATGCTGTACAGAAATATGTTACAATATAGGATGCCACCTCAGTGTTCGATTAATTTTATACTATTAATAAAATTAGTGAAACAATATAATCCTAACCTACACAAAAAATCTATAAATAACTAGACTCATCGATCAGTGGCCGCTTGCGAGAGGGAAGCAGGGTGTGTATAAATAGTGATAGTAGCAAATCATAGTCAAACTAATATATAATGCGTTGTACAATTACAACGGCTGCTAGGTTTATTGTGTCGGTAACATACAGTGCGGTTGTATTCCGGGTGCCTTTAACTCATCGAGTCATTTTGACGTAAATTAAGGTTCTGGTAGGCATGCACTAGCGTTAGCAGCTCACTGTATATATAACACGGATGGCAAAAATTCCTAATAAATACGTATTAATGTACTTAATTATGCAATATGTGAACGTGAACGGATGATATAAGGAGCAAGAAAATCTATATACGTGTGTATGTATTTATACATCTACGAAAGAATGGAATACGAATTAATTAGAACTGCGCTCTTACCGATATATATATATATATATGACGGCAAAATTGCCTATGACAGTAGCAGGTTGAAATATTAATATTAGAATATAGATGGCGCTTTTGCACATAAAAATAAACTGGTGTGGCGGCGATGCAGGCAGCTTTCGCTTTCCTTGCAGATACCATAAACCCAATCCTGCAAAAATATGCTGCCTTACGCGACATATTATACATTATATTTATCTTGCTGATGTCACGCATAAATAATTTAGAGGGAGATTCTTATATCTTTTTCTGCAATGTTTACAGAACCAATAGAAACACCTATCAGAGCCGTGGAAGAATGTGTACAAACTCCAATCATATAATAGAAGACGATGCGAAAGCCTTACGAGATTTCGCGTTAAGGGAGCTTTTTCACTTTCTTAGCGTATTACTGTATTACTATATATACAGCTGTATTTTGTATATCGTGTACTTGTACGAAAACCGCTGAAAATCGAAGCCAACACCCTCTCGCCCTCGGACCACGAGCTGTAGCCACTCTATTAAACGCGTGCATTGATAATGCCATAGTGTAAGCACACGTGTAAGTGATATTCACAACTGAATTTCAACAGGCACAGACAGTGCGCAGTTTCCAATATGAAACTGCACGCTGCGGCGGTGGTCGCCATCATTTTCAATGTAGTCAAGTGCATACAAACTGCAACGATGATTACGAATGCTCAGTAACATGCTAAGTGTCAGGCACAAGTACGGGCTACATACACGAGCAATCGATGCACGTCAACTACTTCCTTGGGCCTACGCGTTAGGCACAGTGTTATGCGAATGCACTCGTTCGCCGTCCTAACGTTAAGGATGTTTTACACATACGAATATAAATAAATAAATAAATAAATAAATAAATAAATAAATAAATAAATAAATAAATATATATATAATACTATATATAATACTGCTCAATCGGTTTTAACCGAGTCTGTGCAGACATACTATTTCATAGCTCCCAACCGATGCGGTTTGAAATAACGCCCGACCGCGCCAGGTGTGCTTCTTCGCTTCGCTACCACCATCCTATAAGGCAAAACAATATCATTCATCGTCGCGTGCCACGACAGAGAGCACTACCGTCGTTACGAACCACGAATTCTCGGTGCATTCTGCCGAGTCACGGTCGAAAACAGGCAAATATGCCTGTCTTTACGATATACATTGAGTGCGGCTGAGAGAAACCTAATGTACCGGGAAGTGAAATAACGATAGTTACAGATATAGTATAACGATATTGATGCGAATATAGATCGAGAGTAGAAACCGGTCACCCGGGGCGTGTGCGTGAAACGGAGCACGGCCGCTGTGCCGGGTTAGCGACGCAGCGAACACCCTGCCGCGACGTATAGAAAAAACAAGCTTTGATACATATTTACAATACTCAAGGGACAGGGATGCGTGGGAGAAAACGCGTGAGCAGAATCGAGGATAGGGGGCGCTGCGTGCACGCAAAGCGCCGAGTGTATGTCGACATGGGTGGTGCAATAGCTGCGAGCTGTTAGCTCTCGAGTGCCGGGCGATTCTCGTTCACCGTAGATGCACCCGGAGACCAAGACGGCCAGACGTACGCCGCTGGAACAGCTGCCCTGCAACTATACGCTGGCGCCCTCTATAAACTACGGCGTGGCCGAGCCACTGGCGACTAGCTAGACTACCAGATACCGATCGATACCAGGCGAAGTAAGATGGAGCGGGTGCCCCTACCCGTGTCGCCCTCTAGCGGGAAGAATCGGAAAGTGTTGCCGCGGCACACGAGCCCTACGTCTACTGGAGCGTGTTATAGCGCACGTGTGCCTGCGTTCAACGCACACCGCGTGGTGTGCTAGGTGTCATTAGCTCCTACCGATGACATTCGTGTCCACTGCACAGTGCGATCGTCGCAAGCAAGACCAGGACTAAGCCGTGTACGAAGGCGAGTGCGCCCTCAGCAAAGGATCGAATTCAAAATATGGCGCGCAAGGAAAAATCGCTGATTTCAAACCCACATGATCCCCTTCGGGGGCTAAGCACAAACCCACGGGTGGTTGGAGTCCCCGAGCCACGGTATTCAACGACTAGAGTCCGCCACGCTGGCTTCCCTGCGTAGCCTGCTGGCCACCACTCCTCTTATTACTTCTCTGCCTTCTCCTCCTCATCATCTTTCGCCTTCTCCCCCACTTCCCTCTTATCTTTCTCATACTTCCTCGCCTCATTCTTCTCTTTCATCATCTACATACTCTATCACTCCTCCTTATCTTCATATTCTCCTTCTTCTTCCTCCTCATAATCTTTTTGCCACACGATAGTTCTCCCATCAATGCGCAGCCTTCTGCCTCTCCCCCTTCTCCTTCTCCTTTTCTCTCCTCCACCTCCTTCACCACTCCTCATCCTCAATATTTACATCAACATCCTCATTTTCTACCGCTTCCATATTCTTCTCCCTCACCTCCCCCCTCATCAATAACCTCTATCGTTCCTTCTTATCCTCCTCCTTATTCTCCTCCTCCCCTACATGCCACACGATAGTTTCCCAATGAGTGTGCGGCCTGCTCGTCCTCGTCCTCCCCTCCTACTCCCCCTCCTCCTCATCCTCCTCTTCTTCATGCCATACGACAGCTTCTCCATCAGTGTGCGGCCTCCTCATCCTCTCCCTCCTCCTCATCCTCCTCCTCTTCATTCCACACGACAGCTTCTCCATCAGTGTGCGGCCTCCTCGTCCTCTCCCTCCTCCTCATCCTCCTCCTCTTCATGCCACACGACAGCTTCTCCATCAGTGTGCGGCCTCCTCATCCTCTCCCTCCTCCTCATCCTCCTCCTCTTCATGCCACACGACAGCTTCTCCATCAGTGTGCGGCCTCCTCGTACTCCCCCTCCTCCTCATCCGCCTCCTCTTCTTCATGCCATACGACAGCTTCTCCATCAGTGTGCGGCCTCCTCGTACTCCCCCTCCTCCTCATCCTCCTCCTCTTCATGCCACACGACAGCTTCTCCATCAGTGCGCGGCCTCATCGTCCTCCCCTTCCTCCCCATCCTCCTCCTCTTCATGCCATACGACAGCTTCTCCATCAGTGCGCGGCCTCCTCGTCCTCCCCTTCCTCCC